ACCTTTTTCAAAAGGATCGGGGCCTCCCAGTCAAAGTACTTAACGAAATCATGCAATGAATGGACTCCTCCCGGACTTTGCATATCTATGCTCCCCTCGCGGGGCAAGCGCCAAATCGGGCGTACAATCAACAGCGGGAGAGAGAATCAACAGGTGCCCAAACGACTAGGATTCAATTCTTGGTAAAAACCTTGTGGGTGTCCTTGCCCTGTGGGATTGTTGCATGCGAGCTTTCAAGGGTCGTCCGAAAAGCATTCAAGGGTGCGCGCAATCACAAGTCGATCGGAAGCCCCTTTTTCGCAAATACGGTGCAAGCCCTTCACGAGGATGTGGTAACACACGATTCCAACGTTGCAATTGGGTGTCAGCTTGATGCAGCATCCATTGAAGAAGGCTACTTGCTAAGAGCTGGGAAGCTAAAAGAACCTGGGCTATCGCCTTCCCCAAACACAGTCAAAGAATCCCCCGGCAGCCACCTCCATTAACGGTTGTCCTGGCCTGTCCCTTGGACTGAGATGGAACTTTGAAGGATAGTTGTGAAATGATCAAATTGGCTTTCCGAAGAGGGGAAGGAGGTTGCGGGGAGGGTAGAACCTCCCCCATCCGATCCGGGCTTGACTTTGCCACGGCTCCACACCCGCGCCATGGCCCCCGCCAGGGTTGCCGGGTCGAAGCTCGCCGAGAAGTCCCAGATCCGCGCCATGAGGAAAGCATCGGCCGCAGCGGTTTGGAGCGCCCGGGTCGGGAGAGGGAAGGGCCAGGGACCCGCTGTTTCTTGGGTGCAATGGAACGTGTGGGTAATTTTAGTACTCTCCTCGTTTTTCTCCGGGTCCCTGTGTAGTCCGCCATGCTTGTGGCGGTGTGCTTGCAACTTTGAGGGGTCCATGCGGTTTGCCGCAACTTTGCTTCAGAGGTCATCATGGTGGGTCTCTTCGGGGCACACAAGTCCCTCGACTCTGCAAAGCATATGAGTAATCAGCACTTATGGGCACATGTCTCTTGAATGCCTTTGGCTTGGCCATCTGCCTACTGCTGAAAGGCCACGTGCGAAGGGTGCAGCGCCATCAAAATCCCATGTGCTGCTTCAAAAGTGTGGCGCTACCCCAATGCAACTGCAACTTGATGCCAAGCAATATGCTGAGCAATGTGGAAGTGATTCACGCGCCCTGGCCGTCCCATCAATCTCCAATATCCGAGCACCCCCCCCCCAAATGAAACCTTTTGGACTCTTGATGGCCTAAGTAAAGCCATGAGCTCAGGCACGCGCTTCCAATTTCTGCGGCACTATCCCCTTGCTTCAGGCTACCTAAGGCCCAAGGGCACTCGCCAGGATAGCGCTCGATGTGAGACAGACCAACCCAGAAACTGATTTCTAGAAGATGAAAAAGAAGAAAAAACACGAAAAGGTGCCCGCAACAGTCTTGACACCGCTCTGTCTTCCACCTGTAGCTGCTGTGGCCAGCTTGATCCGAGGTGATGCCACCGATCCCCCCCACCCTGGTCTCCAGCTGCTCACCCCAAATAGAATGCGTTTTGATTGTCATCATTAAATGAACAAAAATAGAAAGCACACACACACACGAACCTGGCACTCCTGGAGACCTGGGGTCAAATGGGTCTAGTCGTAGAGCATCCACTCCCATTGGGTGCCCTTCAAGGTGCGCTCAAGTTCCGGCCAGTTGCCCACCAGCTCCTCCAGCCGCCCCGGGTGCAGCTTCACCAGTCCATTCGCCTGGCCGGATGCCAGGTGCCAACGGGGGGGAACAAATCCGCAAGCCGATCGTCTGCGAGCATTTGCTTTTCAACAAGAATTGGGGACATCTGCGCATGGGGCCTCTTCACTCAGCAGGTCGGGCCCAGTGGTGCACGTGGAGTTGTCGAGGAGGAAGTGGCGAAGCGTGCTGAAGCTGTGGCTCATGTTCTCGTAGAACATGGGCAGGACATCAACGTCTTCGGAGTCGCGAAAGAGATCCGACAGCGTCTTCAGCCTAAGCCCCAAAAGCAACCACATGAATCACCATGGGCTGCTACACGCAACGAATATCAATATCACCAATGATCATCTCTCGGCTCTCTCTAAGTCAAAAATCCATTGGCCCGTCAGGCTCGGTTTGCCAGTGCGGGAGAGCCAGCGTGTGAGAGCCCCCTACCCAGCCCCTTGTCACCTCCATACAAACAATACCAAAAGCTCGGCTGTTGCCCCCCAACTTTTGTGTCCTGCTACATATTTTAGTGAAACTCAAAGTGCAAAATAGCAAAATATGTCCAAACGAATGCGTCAAATGAGGAAATCGGCTGCTTCTCCTCCTGGTGGAGCTGTTGGATCAACGTCTTCGTCTCCACCCGGACCTTGGCCTCTCGCGCCTCGCGGGCTTCTGCTGGACTACTGGTGGCCGACAGCGCCTGCACCTGAAGGCCAGGAGCGCGGTCAAACAGCATGCAATCTACAAGACCACCCTTGGCACTGAACTTTGATCTCGGTCTGGGCGTGGGGGTGCCCCTGAAAGGAAGTGTCCTTGGCGCTCGCCAGGGGATCAGCTCATGATCTATACGCGGGGGAGGGATCCATTCCACCAACCATGTGGGACGGTGTTCCCCGGGTACCCAGGGGATGTCCAGAGCCCGCGCCCTCGGCCCCAGCGCCTTGTTCGCCTCGTTGGAGAAGATCCGCCGCAGAAAGTTGGCGCGCCGCAGCCATAGGACCTGACCCCTTCCCACAAACATACCTGAACTCCTCGAAGGCCCGTCAGATCAAGAGGGTGCCATATCTGTTCAGCAGGATTCCAATGCAAAACAATGGGCCCCTTGCAACCGAAAGCCTCTCAACGCCATTTAGACAAGAAATGCCACAACGGGGCCCAGGGCCCGGGCCCGGACCCGGCGGGCGGCCAGAAAGGCGCGCAGCGGACGCCAGTCGTCAAGGAAGCCTTGGTTCACCTTCCAGTTGAAGCCCCGGACCACTCCTTAGTTTTAGCGGAAAACAGGCCTCGCCCAACGCCGACAAGGAAAGCAACTAAGTTGGAAAAGCAGATCTGATCTAATGTCCAGGGTAACAGCTGTTGAAGCAACCTCCATTGTTCTGCGAATGTGGCACTAGGCCTGCCAACAAGTGGCTCCCTTCACGTGCAAGCCGAGAGTTGTTTCGCAGGACATCGTTCCATCCTGCTGGCAAACGCTTCCAGATGTGGAATTGCTCTGCACGTCACTCTATTGTCCAAAGAAAACAACTTCTCACAACTGAGCCTATTTGTTGTCCACTTTCTTTTTCTATCGCACCCCCTCTCTCTCTCTTTCTCTCTCTCTCTTTCTGTCTGTCCATCACCGGGTTTTCGGCGTCCTGCTGGCAGCCCCTGCGTCTCCGCCTTGTCCTGCGCGAAGAAGGCGCGCACGGCGCGCTGGCGGAGCTCCGAGGTCCAATTGATGTCGAAGCCTTGTGCTCCACACACACGGCGCATACATTGAACGCACCAACTAAGAGTCCAGTCGCGAATGTGTGCCGTTTCACAACTGTGGGGGTGTTGCAACGCTAGGAACCTCGAGTTGAAGGATTCCAGTAGATCCAGTAGAAACCACAAAAAGAACAAGCATCTTGGCGGGAGGGGTCCTAGTCTCGTTGCCATCGCTCATCGGCCAACTATTGGGCCGAGCTTCGCTTGCGGAAGAAGAGCTCGGACTCGGCAGTGATGCACCTGGAGTCTACAGGGAATAAGCCCACGCTCCTGTGTCAGCACGGGGGAGTACATGTCCCTGAACAAGCCTATGGTTTTTTGCAGGGGCACTTTTCATGGGCGCGTGGTTGGGACCTGCAGCCTAGCAGCTATGAGCAAAAGCGAGACGAGTGGACTTGGGGATGGTCAAACTTCAGGAATTCTTGTTGGCCTTCCGGGTACAGCCACTGGCAATCATGCTCCGAAACTGCTTTGCTGTTGGCTTCTGCCCTCTGTGTTAAATGCTTGCAGAGATTGGAAGGAAAATGCTGTGCGGACAAGTGCCTGTACCAGTGAACTCAAGTATATAAGGCATGATATTTGGCAAGCTTGTGCTAACAAGGACGGAAAGAGATAGGCCCTCAGCACCCACCAGCAGCCTGTCAAAAGCGCCTGTTGAGGAGGCCATGTTTGGACGCGAGACCCCTCGACCCTTAATTAGAGCGACCCACGGCCAATAGCTAACTCCTGCCATGCCACGGATGTCGGTTGAGCTCCTGCGTCACCCAGTGTGTCCCGGAGCGCTGCTCGGCTACCAGAATGAAGCCGGCAACTTCGCGGACCTCAGGGGAGGAAGCGCGTTGCACGGAGAAACCACATGCGTTCATGTCCTACACACAGTGGCTGCAAACCGCGATTGCCTGCCATTTGCCAGAGTTTGTCAATGGATTTTGCCGAAATCCGGTCGCCCGCAGCTTGCAGTTTCCCGCGCCTTCTTGCCGTGGCCGCGCACCAGCCGCACGCGGCCATCGGCCTCCAAAGCGGCAGCGGCATGGCCCGCGACGGCCACGCCCGGCTCAAGCCAGGCAAGCAGAAGCCATGCGGCCAGCCGCCACGTCCTGCCCAACTGTCTCATGGCAGAACCCCGACTTCCTTGTTTGGTTGCCAAGTCAAAGCAGCCCAATGGAGCCATACGTGCTTTCACCATGCGGCCTCCATTAAACTTGCTTCAGGCTGCGCGTGGCCAATGGAGCCGGTTTCTATAGTGCCAGGCACAGCGGTCCACCAGGAGTGGGCTTGCAGGGAGCTCTGTATCTCTATTGCCCACTGCTCCAAATTGGCGACAAATGAACCCTGTTCAGTGAGGTCATCAACCTCCTGATCGCGAGACGGAGCAAACCGAGCAGCATCACTCTCTATGACGGCATGGCAAAGGTCCTAGCACATCTCATCGAGGTTGGCAGGCCACATGACTTGAACCGCAATGGCCCAGGGCACAGGTTTGCATTGCTTCGCATCTGTCCAAGTCTTCAATGCCATGGCAGTTTGCAACCCAAAACCCAAGCACCCGGCCCAAGAACGAAGTCGGGCGTCTGCGGCCACCTTCCTCCAAGGCCGTTTCAAGCTGCATGGCCAGCTACGCAGCCAAATGCCCGCGCCTGGCTGGCTGGCATTCGCCTGTGCATGAAGAAGCCCTTCACGTTCAGCATCCACCTTCGCAGCTTGATGAAAGTCGGATACAACGGCAGTCAAGGATGGATAAAAAACATAGCACAGAGGTCGAGACCTGTTTCGCATTCGGGCAAGGCTTTTCAGGCAAAACAGTGTCACTCGCGGTCTGTTCATTTCGTTCTGCGCCGCTTGGGGGAGTGTCACGCTTGTGACGTTGCGCTGGGCCCGCGACGCCCCAGAAGGCCGCGCTCGTCAAGTTAGCACCTGGGGGCAAGCTGCCGTCTCAGGGCATACACCATCAATGCCCTGCATCTGAACACTTCCAAGGCCATGTTGGGGAGCCGGGCGGCGCATCGCCCACTGCAAGGCGAAGAGGTATGTGCCTCCAAAGCCAGGAAGCACACAGAAATCCCTACCGGCCTACCGCCCTAGACAAAGGATCCAAACCAAGGGGTCCGTTTCGGGCCCGCGCATGCAAATACCTGAGCCTGTCTGGGTCAAACACTCGATGCCAATTACAGGCCGCTTCCTGAGCTCGTCACCCACGCCACACATGGGATCCAGCCTCAAACTTATCTAACTCTGGCACAGTTGCTACAAGCTTTCAAGGCAAATACGCAAATCGCTGTGGCAAAAGCTCCCGTGACGTGCTAAGGCCCAAGGCACCCATTTCAAGCAAGCCGCCCCCGAGGCCGACACACCTTGACGCTCCCCGGCTCACCTGCCGTGCTCCGGACACAGAAAGAAAATGGCTTCTGTTTGCAGTGGTAAATTGTTAGAACACATGCTGCAATGTGAGCTCCCCAGAAAAACCGGATAAGAATTCCTTCCACGCGTGTGGACTTCTGGCCCCCTTTCCCCGAACTGGGGGCAACAGTTGCTTAAAAGTTTGCTGTGCTGCCTGAGAATGCCTCATGTCTCGAATCAACCTAAGCGATGGTCTTGCAATACGTCCTCGTGTCTCCCCAACTCCCGCCGCTGATCGAAATGGAAATTTGTTCCACGCAAAACCGGCCAAGAAAATGCGCGCAAACCCAAAGCAATTGGCCCCTGGCCAGCGCAATTCAACCCTAAAGGGGTGCCGCCGTGACTGTTGATGCCACTGCCGTAGGGCACGGGGCCACAATCACAAGCTGACACAAAAAACACTCCATGTGTATTGTCACGTCCCTCAATGCAGGTTAAAAGGCTGGATCCCAGCCCATCCCTCACGAGAGAGCTGAGCGGGATTCCAGCCACGTGTCTAAAGTCTGCAGGCATGCAGAAGCATCTGAGGGCCTCCGGGTTCTGAATTGCGAAAGGGTGTCTCTCAGCATTGGACTGAACTACTTATTCAAATGTTCACAAGTAAGCCAAGGGGACACGCACCTCAGGGAGGGGTCCCAATTTGGAGACACACCCCAAACCTAATGGTGACAACTCACCCTGGCATCCTTGAGAGCCCCTCGCTTGAGGGAAACACGAGGCTTTGGCCCTTCAGGTCGGGCATGGGCTACAGCTCTAGCAAGCCCTTGCCCATTGCGCAGGAGCAGCAAAACTCCATGGCGCAGTGGGTGCAGTGCCAGTGCTCCTCGCCAGCCTCGATGACCTCAGTCCCAAATGGTCCCAGACCGCCCTTTTTGCCTTTTGCCTGCACCGACGCAACAGCTCTTCCCGATTCACGCTCCGAGGTTAAGGCTTCCCCGCAGGCCTGGCAGCTGAGAACCTCCACGAAGCCCGCGAGCAAACTCTGCGCCTGCCTGGGGAGTCAAAACACGAGCGGGCCGCATGCGAGATGTTCAAGTGGCTGAATTCCACGGCGTGAGCAATGCGCCTCCACCAAGCGGAAACGGGGCTGTGTCTGCTTTTCACAACATTTCGCAACCATCCTCCAGTTCCATTGATGTAGTCTTCTGAAACCCGCAACACCTGAACACCTGAAAGGACACCTCTAAAATGATCGACTAGCAAGAAGGGTGGAGGGAATGCCTGAAGTCGCATCCAGTATGAAGAGGGATGCCTACCCTGCATGGAACTCAGTCCCCAAAACTCCACCAAAACTCCAACCCACCGTTTCTCACACGGAACGCAGCATGATTTCGGAAAGTGCGCGAGCAAAGCGCGCTTGCTGGCACAAGCGGTCTCAAGTTGCCTCAAGTTGGCCAAGTGCTAAAAGTAACCCCGGCTAGTCTTTGGCCAGCTTTGTCGGCGGGCGGCAGGCGGCAGAGGTGGCCCTGCGGGCAGGAGCCCAGCTGCTCGGGCAAGCTGAGCGTGGAGGGGTCTGAGATGACCCGCCGCTCCTCCAGTGCAAAACAGGGAAAGGCACCGTGCCCATCACACAAATGTGCTCCCCGTGTTCGGCCCACCAGACCAACCAAATAGTGGCAGGCTCATCCCGGTGCGACTCCACTGCGCCCCTCTCCTTGATGCTGCGTACCATGGAGTCCACCCATTGAGGGATGCTCCTCACTTCAAGTCCTCAGCGCACCAGCCGAGCGCCCGCCAAGGAGCCCCATTGCCCCTTCAGCTAAAGGGCTGTGGCTCAAGCAGCGGCAGAACGTGATGCAATTCGGCCCCAGGATCTCGTAGTCCTGGGCGCATCACACATGGAAGCAAGTGGGGCTAACTCCCCATTTTAGCCAAATTAAGCCCAAATGGTTGGCATTAAATGGTTGGCCCTTTGACGAGGGTCCCCATCCAACGGTCAACATTGGGTGGCTTTCAGTGTTACCTGCGCCTGATCGTTGAAAGAAAACATGATGACTTCTGGTCGTTGGGGCTACCCATACCCTCGATAGTAGGAGTCCTTGTGGCCTCCCCTGTAAAATGGCCAGCAAAAGGGGCTTCTCCCAAAAGGGCCCCATGCGTTGAGCATCAGTCCTGTAGAGACCACTGCGGTGCCATGCTCCGAATCAATTCATCTACCTCCTCAGCGATGCACACCGCCACAACTCGGCACTTTGCTCCTGCCACATGCAGCGCATCTTGCCTCCGCCGACTTGGTGGTGACGCCCAAGCATAGGCTCTCTCGGAAGGAGTGCTTTGGACAGCATCTGGGCCCCCATTTTTTGATCCTGAGCTCGCTGAGGCACGCGCCCGCCCTGGGGATAGCTCCGAAACATCAAGCCAGACGTGTGGAGGGAGCCTAGCTTTCAGCGATAGCCCAATGAACCAAACGGCGCCAACTTTGCCCAGGGTCCCGCTGCCGTCGATTCCAATGTCAGAGCCTTGGTCGGCTTCACATCTAGCGTCTACAAAGCTTCATGCCGGCCCAGGCCCAGGCCCCCAAAGGCATACTCGACCCCATAGACCTCCACGCCCGCGTGGAAGGCGCCGTTGCCCAGCACAGTGCTGGTCACGTTGTTGATCAAGCCCACCCGCCAATCGAAGAGATCCTCATGTGTGAAGGGAGCATGAAATGGCACTGAAAACCACCAAGAATGGACACGTCCGGCCTGCCCGCAACACCAAAACAACGGTGGGTGTTGCCAAAAGATTCCAAGGCGCGTAAACATTCAAATAGACAAAGGACGCCTTCTTGTCGGCAATCCTCTGCAAAAGCCTCAAGGGTCGAGAGCTTGAGATTGGCAAGGCCAAAGAAGCAAGGAGAAGGACGACATGGGCACCTAGTGCCTCTGAGAGTTGATTATTGTTGCCCGGTGGCTTGTCTCATCAAAAGTCTCAGAATGAACGAGTTACAGCTCTTGGCTGGCCCTCTCCCTTTGCCCGTTCTGATCAATCTGATTCAGGGACGTGGGACAGCAAGCAGCGCTGTGGCATTCACCTTCAAATGTCTCGCCTCTCACCCGCGTCTTGAAGGCTCTCCACCAGCTCGGCCGCAGACTCTGTGCCCGCCATGCGCAACGTCGCCTCTCGAACACCCACTGAACTTTCCAAACTTCAGGGAATCCAAGAATCCAAAATGCTTGGAAATCTCAGAAAGTATTTTCTTAAACGCTTTGCAAATGAGATACGTGAGGAAGAAACCCCGAGAAGCAAGTGCAGCCCCAACGTCTTTTTCCTCAGGGAACATTCACCAGTACAGTCGGAAGTGCTTATCATGAGGGGGAAAAGGCTACCGTAACAAGCACTGGTGACCTGTATTGCTGGATTGCTGGCCTGACATTTGTCAACAAATCAATCCAGCCAACAAGCTGCCACCTTTTCGGACTTGCTGCAAAGGAAAACCAGGGACAATTCCACATGTGCATGGATTGGCTGAACTCACGCTGCCTCGCATCGCCCGGGCCGGGGCAAACCAAAAAAGCAATGCTTGACCAGAGGGCGCCTCTGTTTCAGTGGCTATCCTTTCTTGTACGTTCATCCGGCAGTGCCTTCAAACTACAAGAAAGCAGCTGTGGCAGCTCGGCGGAATCCTTCGCCTGCCTCCCCAGCAGGCGTGGATAGGACCACTTGTCGGTCATCGCCCATCACATCCTCAAACGAGACCCGGCAGAGTCATCGAGCGCGTTTATCAGAACATCGCTTTCTGGCGTGCGGCAGGTCTTGGCTAATGCCAGAAAATCTCAAACCCAAAGCCAAACCAATTCAAATTCCTGAAGTGATGGGACAATCGAGTTTACTCTTGCAGGCGGCATCACTGACGTGCCCGCCTGCCGAACATCCACAGGAAGCCACCACTCTGTGAGTGCATCCTGCCAGCTGGATTCAAAGCCGCAACCCTTCTGCAGCGTCCATGCGCAACCTGAAGCAACACCAAGCCACCAACCCACCACCCTTCTCATGGGGACCCCAGGCCTCCGAGCTGGAAGCAGCCAAGTTCTCCACCACCAGACCTTGGGTTGGCTTAGCTCACAGTGGGGCAAACAACAAACAGCAATGCCAAGCATGTTGGAAGTGCTCTGCTACTTGAGCAGCGCCTGAACATCCATGCTTGCAAACTGCTGTCCCAGGAGCGGTCGGCATGGAGGCGGAGGGCGCATGGCGACCAGCGCCAGATATAGCCACCCCACAGCTCAGCCTTTGTCAGGTCAGGCTTTGAAAGACAAGCAAGCAGTAGCCAATGACTCGCTGATTGTTCCGAAGCTCAGACATCATTCGACACGCCGCGCCTCTCTCACCAGGATTACCTTAGCTTGGCCAAGGCTGGACAAGGAAATGAGTGCGAGACCTCTACGGCTTGCTGTCATGTCTAGAATGTTGAACAGTTCCCATTCCTGATCTCCAGTTGGAACGAGCTATGCGAAGGAAAGACAACCATCCAGCAGCAGTTGATCATTGCACACATCATCTTCATCAACGTGCGATCTGGCGTCGCATTCCCAAAAAGCACACAGTCTTCATCCTGAGAACTTCAGTTTGGGACCATTTAACGTGGCATTTCCACGGGTGGATGCGAATTTTAACAAGGGATGGTTCCACGAGTCCCTGCCAGCGACATGCCAATCGAACCCCAAACGTGCTGCCCGGATGCCTCGGATGGTTTGGCTCGCGGCGTGCGTTTCTTCAAGGTGACTGGCTTGGGCTCGAGCCACGTCCCCACAGACGGCAGGCTCCAATACTCCTCACCTCACAAAAAGACAATCAGAACTCAAGCAACACGCGCGGCCAAATTATGGTCGATACGCAGGGCAAAGCGCGTGGACATGGCGGGATTAGGTGCGGGACGAAGCTCCTTACCTGGTCCATGGTCGCGTGTCTCTTGATGTTGGTAGGAACCCCAGCAATGATGCTGATGATGATCCCTACAAGCCTTGACCGGACTCTGGACACCGCAAAACGCCGATTGCGGCTTAGTCGCCCAAAGACTTCCGCAAGCGCCGAGGGCTGCAGTTGACTGGTGGCAGACTGTCCTCAGCGCAGCAATCAACAAAAACATGATAGCACTCGCCCGCTTGACTTCAAACGCAGCTCGTCAACGAAGAAAGTAAAAGTTGCCTCTGGACAGGTCGGCCATGACGACAAGCAGGGCCCTGTTGTGAGAAGGTTCTGCGCTCTGCTCGACTTTGCATGCATCACCAATAGCAACCAAGTGAGCAACTGGAATTTCAAACGTTCCACCTCTAGACCGAGATGCTCTAAAGGAACCCCGCGGCTGAGAGCCAAGCGCACTGTTTCACTTTACTGACTTAACCCTCGTGCATGTAATGCAAAAAGGAGAGAACACTTGCACTTCGGCCGCTCTCCGATGGCTTCGTCAGCCCAGCAGCTTCCGAGTTGACCGCATGGAGCGGAGATATGGACCACACGCAGTCCCAGTCGGATCCTGGCGGAGTCGAAATCCCGCGGAAGTATGACTGTGATGCCCGTTCTGCACCATCGAACCGGCCCAAAGGGAATGATTTGTGGAGTGTTGCAGCATGATTGGCGGCAACAATTGGTTTGAACCTCCACAAGCTAATCGGAACTCCATTGCTCCATTGGCAGGGTCAGCCAAGCGGTCTGCCAAATCTGGGTCTGGAGTCTTTAGACCTTGGCTGCACCTCGCACGACTCGGAAATGACATGTGGGCTGTCCGGGCCACGACTCGCGGCTTTAACATACTTTAACATCGACACGGCCGATTCGAACAATTGGGTTGTCCTTCAAGTGGTTCGGAGCTGCCTTCCAGGCCGGCTTCCACGCGGGTGAGCCTGGGTACAGCTTGCACAGCTTGCACAGCTTGGGCATGGCCGTCTTTTAAGAGGCAGTGGATCTCTAATGGAACCTGGGGATGCTTGTGATGAGCACAGTGTCCATGCGAGCCAGCTCCGGCTCTCAAACAAAACGGCCATCTGCACCTTTACAGTAGACTTTGGGCTGCCTGGCGTCCGCACTGCCCAACCCGTCATATCCGAAGCACGTTGCGGCAGAAGCTTTGGTCACACAGCACGCGTCCATCGCAGGCCATATGTAGCCGCAATGGCTCAAAGAGAAGCTACTGCTGCCTGACTGCAAATCCCGAAACAGGTACCTCGAAAGGGTGGATTTTCTTTTGACTCCCCTTTGAGCTGATCAAACAAGGTGTCCTCATTTTGAGACAAATCAATTTGTTGGCTCTGAATTTGACCCCACGCCAACTGTCCCTTGTGAAGCCTGATTGAGCAAAGATGGGAAGTCAGGGAGCTCCATGCTTGTGGGCGCCTTCGGATCGACAATCTGACGCAACGTGCAAAGCTTGGCCGACCCAACTGTTTGGCTAAACCAAACGAATATCGGGATATCAACCTGAACGTCAGCTCTGCCAATGCGCTGGTGCCAACCACCATGGATCCCCACTCCGCCCCCTACAGCCCTTCCTTGGCCTTTAACTAAACGAGAAGGGAGGGCTGGGAGAGAAGGGGTTGGGATCCGCTGGCGAGTATTGTCGTTGCTGTAGGACACACTTGGAAGGCGCACTGCGCTTTGAGGTGCTTGGGATCTCGGTTGTTCAGCTCACGGGGGAAAAGCAGGAACATTGAGGTGCCCGCTTTAAGCAGGCAACATGTTAGCCAACAACTCAGAAGACAGACAAATATAAAGCTGCATGGCCGCCACAAGCCCCCACCGAATCCGAGTCTCCCAAGGCCATTGGACACCAAGATCCAGCAGACTCTTTGGGTCTTTGGGCGTCGATCCAGCTTGCACAGCACATGGAGCCCGTCCCTGGTCCACCCGACACTGACCTTTCAGCAGCTCCACTGCTTGCTGTGCCACGCAGAGCGCGGCAGTGTCATCCGCCCGGGAGAGCAGATCCCCCTGATCCGTCGCTCGCCGAGTCGCCGAGTCGCCGAATCGCCGGCATGTGCGAAGCCTTTTTTTGGATCTGCTTTCTTTGGCAGGTGTCAACTATAGAAAGCAGGTCTCTGTGCTTTAAGACTGTCTTGCAGCGCCTTCTGAATCTTCAGGGAGGCTTGGCGGCAACGAGTCCCTGCGCTCCGCAATCCCAGCACCAGCCTCACCGCCGTCTGATTCTCGGGTTGAAAGAGTCTCTGCAGGCCACGCCATGACACGCGGAGTGGCTCACAATCTGCTGCCTTGTGGAAATCAAAAATCCCAAGAGCCCATGGTGCCAATTTGCACAACATTGCGTGGAGATGCGTTATTGGCTCCAAAGGGTGCTGCTCCCTACGCCTGTCTCAGCTTTCAGGATGGCTTCCCTTCCCTTTTGCATTTGTGCTTGGCAAACCCTCTAAACTGAGAGGGGGGTGCTTCTCTTGACAACGACCCCAACAAGGCCCAAACGAGCCCCCGGCATCTCCGCTTTGCCAACCAGCTGGGACCGACTGGTGCCCGCGGCCACCGCCAGCTCGTCCACCTAGGCAGGTGCGGTGAGGGTGCGTTCGGGAGGCTTGGATCATGAATAAGAGGCGCTTCAATTTGGATTGGTGGGGTGTGACACGAAAAAGCAGGTTCCCGCAAGAAGTGAAGGATCCCAGGTTAAATTCAGATGTATCCCACATCAATCAGGAGTTTGTGAATCCTGGGTTCTCATCGGATGAAACATGTTTCCACCAGGGAAAGACAGCCCTTGAAGCTGCTTCTTCTTGTCTAGGTGCATCAGCGGCAACAGTCAAAGAACCCGGGGAGCCGGGCACCGTCCGAGACAAATGCGACAACCTGCGCAAATCCGAAATGGGCGACCAGTGGCCAGGGTGTCGATGAGTGTGGCATCGCTCATTTTGCATTTTGCCCTTGACAGCTGTGTGCCACAAAGCAAAAAACATCTGATCTGAACCCTGCCCTTGCATTCCATCCTGGCACAAGCATGTCAACCTTCCCGTGATCCCCCCCGCACAGAAACCAACAAAAACAACTTCTGCAAGGGATTGTCAACACTGACTTTCGCAAGGGAACCTCAATCTGTCTGAGTTGGTACCCATCTTCCAGCCCGCCAAATTGAGACTGAGCTCCACAGAGCTCCGTACCTCTACTTCGAAGTCTTTAAGGTGCACCTGCGGCAGGGAATCCACCGTGCTCCAAATTTCTGGGGAATGACAGTTAAGTGGTTTCGCGTCGCGTTGCACCCTCGAACGTAGCCTTAGCAGAGTTCCCAGTCCCCTACCAGGGGTTCAAAAGGGTTGGAGTAAGAATAACACGAGCCCTCAAAAGCAGCACCTTGAGCTTGTCCCTGGATGTGGGGTCCCCCCCACTTCCGGCATGTGGCATGCAAACGTTGCGCTGGCTTCGGGCAATTTTAAAAAGCGCTGAAACGGCATCGAGCTGCCGAAGCAGTGGCTGCGTGATTGGAACACTGTCAGACTTGCCAATTGATCCAGTGACCAACGGGAATCACGTGGCCTACGTGAACATGAGTAGCGCAGCGCAAGCTGCAAAAAGGCGCCCTTGACGCCTGCCGTCGCAACTTGCGGAAACTTGAAACCTGCGAACTGCCAGGGAACCGTGGCTGGCAGGCGCATTTGAAAGTTCGCCCGTGCTTCCGGGCGAGCGAAATGGAAAGCCCCGCAAGACTTCAAAACTCCCTGGCCGCAACTGCCGCAGCCCGCGCGACGCGCGCGGAACTGTGCAGCGGTCACACCAAGCTGTTACGGGTTGAGGGTCAGCAGGAGCCAAAGGCTGCTCTCTGCGTTTGGGAGCAGAACTTCAGCTCGCAGGAGGACCTGGGCAGAGAAAAGCGTTGGGGATTAAGAGTGGCTGTCGTTTTGAGAATGAGCGCAATGCTTGTGCGGAATCCAGAAGTCAGAGTGATGCAAGTCTCTCGCCACGGGACACTAAACCAGAGGTGCCCGCTTGTAGCATCAAACCGCCAGCCTAAAACCTCCTGGGGCGTGGGCCGTCAGGAAAACAATAGCGGGGAAGGTAAGCATCAGGAGGCTGCGAAGCTCCAAGCTGATGACCCTCCTGACCCACGACTGGAGAACGCAAGGGATGGAGGGGCGGGGTCTTCAGCTCCTCTCGTACATTGACAGCACCAAGGTCACCATAGAACCTCGGCATGAGCTCTGGGCGGCTCTGGCACGAACTTCTTATCGGCCCAACCCCCTTCCGCCCCGCCCCGCCCTGGCCGAGCCGGCGGCACGCCCAGGCGATGGCGAAATTCCCCGCGAAGAAGAACTCCGGCCAGGCACTGAAGTGCGCAGTCATCTCCTGCCACCAGGCCTGCCAGGCATAAACCAAGGAGTCACAATGTCATAGGTAAACCGCCCCACAACCAGGTGCCTGCCTGACGAGCATAGCCATTCAAGATGTATGAGTCTGCATGAAGATTCGGAGGGGTGTCAACACTCTGCATCGGATTCGGGCTTTCAACACATTCCGACCAAATTGTAAAATATATTACCTTGGGGGGGGGGGGAAACGAAGAAAAGCCTACCATCAATGAAAAGAAAACACTGCTAGACTACGAACAAATTAACTGCTTGAGGTGCTGATAGGTGCCGTGTCAAAGGCATCTGATAAGTTGAGGAATCCCACACAGCCATGCCAGAGAAGCCCTCAGCTAGCCTGGCTTCCGCTCAGGAAGTGCAGAGCCACCTGCAGTATATGTCCACAAAGGGGTGTGGCTGTGGGCAACAATCCAATCCATAATTACGGTACACCTGCAGGCGAACTGATCAACCCCTGCGCACCGATACGAGCTTGTATCCAATAAGAATCACTGAAGATTCCGTGGGCTAGCAGGCCGTCAGGCTTGAACAACGACCACAGCGCATTCGTCCCGTGTTGTCCAAATTGGGTTCAAACAAGCCAAGCATTCGCTTGGAGGCATAGCAGAATTTGTTTAGCTGAACCGCACCTCTTACCCATCCGGACGATCGCCACTTGGGAAACCCCGCGGGCAGGTTGAAGATGCCGGGCACCAGAAAAGCGTCCACTCGGTGCATCTTGCCGCTAGAGACCCAGCTGTTCAAGATGAAAGCCTGGGCAAATGGCAACATCAACAGCAAGAGCCAATGTCCAAATACATTTAGCACGTCTGGTTGCCCAAATCAGCTTGCGCGAGCCAGCCTAGCCTCTCCCCCCTCCACGGCAACCAGAAAGACAAAGCGCCAAACCAAAAGTCCGTGCTGGCCTTCTGGGCCCCACGCCCTTCAAACCCACATCCCCCAACATCCCCCAACCCCCCAAATTCCCAGCCCCGAGGGCTTCGCCTGGTGCGCCACCAGCAGCAACGTGACCAGCCCCACCGGCACGTCCAGGAAGCCCAGCTCCGGCGCCAGGCCCCGCGCGCTTTGGAAGGCCAGCACCTGAGAAACGGCTTGGGCCATGCCGGATGACGAAGCAGCTAGTTGCCTTTAAAACATCCTGACTCGTTCAGTTCCCCTTTTCTAGGAGGTTTCTCCCAACCAACCCTGCCAAAACCGCTTCCGCGCCTGAAGCAGCCACTGGAGGCCAACAATCGACCCCCCTGGCCAAACACAAAAGTTGCCAATACTAACTTTAAATTCGCGAATACTAAACCGATACTAAACTTTCTGGAAGCCCGGTAAATCCCGTAATGTGCTTATTAGGGGTCACCCGGCAACACTGTGTCCTTCGCCTCTGAAACAACTCAAGGTTCTTGCTATCAAAGTTCTTTCTCACAAATTGCCTTTTGAGCCCTTTGTTGTGCAAATCAAAGGGGGCCCACTTCGCCAGTTGTAACCCAATACTAAACAAGCCAATCTGAAGCAGCTCTGACCAAACACCAGGGGACCCTTATCAATAAAAACCCTCTGAGGTTTGTGTTGTTGGGGGGGGCGGTTTATTATTAGAGAGAACGGATTACTTGAGCGGGCTTCAATAATTCTGAAGTTGGAAGCATGGCAGATACAGTGGGATTCCTGCATTTCACACGCTGCCTCTGTTTTGAAGGCTGCGTAAAGGCGCAGCAACTCCGCAAAAGTGGCTGTCTCGCTTTGAGGCGGCTGCCAAATAGAACGCCGCCGCGTTCCTGAGCCGTGCATGCAATCTTCCAACCAAAAGGAAGTTGAGGGAACCAGGATATGAGAAAGCAACAGCATTCGGTTTGTGCCCTGCTCGGAAGGGTTGGGGTGGCTGAGCGCAGGAGAGCGTCAGGAAGCCCCCAGACTTGATGTCGCCCTGCGGCCCCAAGCCCAACATCTGCAGATCGAAGCGCCTCAGTAGCCGAGATCCAAGCCTACCGAAAGATTCTAATGCGGCCAACATTTGGCCAACTGGCTTGAAGAAAAAAGTATGTATCTCCTAGGGGCCACACTTCATCAAGCTTGGCTGCAGCCCACTGAGGGCATTGGCCACTCCGGCCATAAGCGCAAGAAGTCCAACCTGCAGAATGCCAGCTTGACACGCAGCAGACCGGTGCACACTGTCCCTTGATGGTACATTGACTCTTTGAACTTTCGTTCATGAGGATCCCTGCCTCCGAGGGCAACACGCGCTCCTTGGAGTCAAAGAAGTGCGCTCATGACATTTGCAGCAAGTTCTGAGCTCCTCACCCATGCGGAGCCGTTCAGGGCCATTGCGTCGTGCACAGCCGTGTCCAGCAGGAATGCTGCACCTGCCAGTGACCCGCCGTCTTCCTTCAGCACCTCTGCCCTTTCATAAGCGTGCAAGGGGCGCCAAGGAACATGTAGATGCCGCCCGAGACTGCATGGACCTGGCCCGCCATGGCCAAGCTGCTTAGCATTCCCCGGCGCGAAGCGAAACCCACGCCTGTTGCCTAAGCCCCGGGCGTGCGCTGTATCCGCCGCCGTCCACATGCGGTTCAAAGACTGGATCCGCCAAATCTTCTGCCAGGCTTCCACCTGGCCATCGCGCTCAACGCCCACGCCGCCCACGCGCAGCACAACGTGAGGGTCCCCTGAGCCACGCCTGCGGCTCCGTCACAGGCACCTCTGCTGTGCCCTGGGTCGCCTTCTTGGCCACGGGGCGGCACCGGTGCGCCCAGTGCTCCTGCATGCAAGTGTCTCACACAGTCGGGCTTCCAGCTTCGCAGCTGCAGCAGAAAAGGGAAGGGAAGGGGAGTCGAGAGGGGCATGCAGACCCTGACAAGGTCAAAGAAAATCTAAGATACAGCTCCTGGATCTCACCAGTTGTGAGGTCGGCTCGTGCCAAACATCTCTCCAACTCCTGCGACCCGTGCGAACTTCAAAACAACCGCCGTATGCGTGCTGAACCCACTACTCCAGCCATGAGAATTAACTTCCGTCTACAACCTGGGCAAAATAAGAGACACATCAGCCAAATGGCAAACGCGCAAGTCCGGGCACCACTCAAGCCCTTGGCGGAGCCGTCCTGGAAGGTGTAGACCTTCCCATCCCACGGGTTGAAGCGGCGCCTCGGGCCCAGTTTCCGAGCAAACGGGCATGGAAAAGGAGACATAGGAAACTCAGATTGACAGAAGACTTCAACTTCAAGTGGTCACAAGGCAAAGATGACCACTCAACCGCTGCAACTGGATTTTCAGAGCCGCGGGCTCGTTCGGATTCTCCGCAGTGCTCTGAACCTCTGTCCAGGCTAGGGCGAGCCGGAGTGAACCAAAACCGCACTGGGCTGCTCCACCGCCCACCTAAAATATGAGACGATTGCCAATGCTCCTTTCAGGTGCGCCTAGCCTTCAACTTGGGAAACAACTGAAACTAGCATCCCCAACTCAGAGGCGCTTACCTCAAGAAACCTTCAGCTTCCCCTCAAAGCCTCATTGTTCCAAGGTGTCCTTTTGCCAAAAACTGGCGCTGCACCAAGCTCTGCAGGTCCCCGGCTGTCGCGCGGCGCCGCTCCTCCTTCTCGAGGCCCTCGATGGCCAGCTGCGACAGCCTGGCGTGGGCAACAGGCATCCTCTCAAGAACAAACATGGAACTCAAAAGGGGCCCGGTGAAAATCAACCTTCCTCGGACAGGCATCCTCTTTCAAGGTTTTAGGCTCCTCCTTTTTTGTGGGGGTTTGCGGGGGAGGTTATTTATGGATACAGTGACCAGTTACGAGTTGGTTATGAAGACTTCTTGTGAGGTGCGCTCAAATTGGAAGCCATCGTTTTTGGCAGGCCATCAATTGAATCGGACTGCTTGCTTGGCATGTTCCATGTTGATCCTGACACTGAAGCGATCCTGTGGCTGTACTCTCTCTCCCTCTCTCTGCCGCACCAAGCACCTCATGTGTTATGCAGGCTGCATGATTTGGCCAAAAAGTGGAAGCAGCCTCCTTCTCACAGCCGGCGCTAAGAAAATGGAATTTTGTCCACGATGAGAGAAATGACTGAGATCGCATCGAGTATTGCAAGTGTATCAACTGCAACGAGAATCGCCAATGCACGTTCTGCTCCCTCTCGGGCGCCCGGGCTCCAATGGCGTACCCTCCGGCAGGACCAGCCACTCGCGCTCCTCGACCCAGCCTGCGCTTGCGCGTCTTGCGCGTCTTGCGCGTCGGGCTGGCCACGGCCCACTTCCGGCCTGTGCCGCCGAAGATCTCCAGGATGCCAGGCGTGCACAAAATCCCAGCCACCTCCCAAGCTGGCATGGACATTCCACCTCAATAGGCTTTAGAACCTCATTGAACCGCCTCTTGGAAGCGCTAGCTTGATCTAGCTTCAAGGGGTCATCCTGATGATGAAGAGTGGCGTGCCAGGTTTTTAAGGCGTCGAATCGCTGCAAAACAATACCTCGCAAACCGTTTTGGAAAACATGTGCGTAAAAAGGGGGGAAAAACACGCCTGCGGCCTGCGCTAAGCTTTTTCATACCCATTTTGCATGTCCCTTCAAACATGGCCTGCCTTGGGCTTTTCCATGTCCAGCTGCCGGAACTTGACGTCGGCAGAGTCCAGCGTCTTCTGCAGGATTCGGATGGTGAGCCTGAAATCGGAGGTGAGGCGAAGGCAAAATGCGCGCTCTGAGAAATATGGGGGGAGGGGTTGGGCGGCTGTTGCCTGCTTGAAGCAAAAGCCATGTCAGCTTTGGGAGAAAGGCAAGCATCTTTGGGAACCTCTGCACGAGCGGCATCTCCGAATCGTTTCGGCCTGATACCCTGGTCCAGCAAGCCACTCTCCTCCACCTCGCCCAGCCTAGCCGCAATCAATTTTCCGCCCTTGGATCGCTCCCTCTCCTGAGCTGCACCTCGCCTGCTGAAGCCTTTCTCCATGAGTCGCAGGTGGAGCCCGTACTTCTCCCGCAGCTCCGCAGGCACCTGTTGGGGCAGAGTCGAGCAAAAAAAACACGCAAAACAACAGATGAGGTTCGATCGGGCGACCCAAAGTGCAAGCCGAACAGTACCAAAGGCCGCGCCTCTGGCTTCTGACGCTGTGCATCCTGGCAGAATGTGAGAGCCTCTCCTCACTGGAACTGTACTGCAACCCAATGCAACCCAATAGGTCAACCAGGGCATGTGACAAAGGAAAACCCTACCTAACATTCCCCGACCCTCAGAACGCGAGGCTCCTGTAGGCTCGCCACATCACTCACATCAGCAGTGGGCCTGAGCCATCCGAAACCACAGCTGGGTGTTCCGCGTTCTGCATATTAGTAGGAGATCTGGGTTGCCCTGCGCATTCTCAAAGCAAGAAGTTGCCGTGGCCCGGCGTCCAAGCAAACATACGGGAAGCCAGCACTGTCCGACTTTCGGGTGCCGGCGCAATGCCCGCCGCCGCCGTGCGCGTTGCTCTGGCCGAGCAGCTCACCTCAAGGCTTTCAGGAGAGGCGCGGTCGAGTTATCAAGCGCAAGCGAGAGGTGGGCAGAAGGTGGGGTGCCCCGGTGAGCCATGCAAGTCTTCAAGCAAAAGTTGGAAACACGAGGACCACCCCATGTGCGTCTCCAAAGGCAACGTCACTGGAAACGTCCAAGCGCCCTGCCCTGATGCGGCGACCAGCCTTGGAAGATGCAATGGCGCACCCCAGCAGCACGTCCCAGTAAGTGGCTAAGATACGAACACAAGCTGTCAAGGCGGTCACCAGCGCGAAAGCTGCGAGGGGCTGCAGACTTGCCTCTGCCAAGCCGCAAGCCGGGGCTGTACCCGCACTTCTTTGAGGAAACAGCCGTTTGGAGGACCCGTTTCGTCATGTCTCAGGTCATCATCTGAAAGACGGAAGTGATCAACGGCTTGGATGGGTTGCAAGCTGGTCGTCACGGCCTCCGCAGCTTTCTCAGGAGCTGCGCGGGTGCTATCCTCGCCCAAATGGCAGGTAAGTAGAAGATAGGATTTAAAACTGACCTAAGTGTTGCTTAATTACCACATCCGAGTATTCCAAGGTTTGGCAAACAAGTGGCTGCCAAAACCAAACGTCAGACCTCTTCCGAATGACTCATGTTTCTTTGTGCGGGCTCTCCTCCAGAACAACTGGTTCAACTGGTTCCCACGTGCGTCTGACGAGCCCACCCAGCCGGTCCGCGTGCCGCAGCCGTCGCTGAAGCGGAGCAGCTCCTGGGGCCGGGCGCAAGTCGCCGTGCTTCCAAAATGGGCACCGCCATGGGCGGCGTCGCTGCGGTTGCTCCAAGAATGCCGAGATGCGTATACTATGTCTTTGATATAGATAATTAAATAAATAAGTAAATAAATAAATAAATAACAACAAAATGAATAGAACAATAAATGAATAAATCAAAAAATGTATATATATATATACATATATATATATATTATACGTATATTATTCATAATAGTAGGTCGCTTGACATGTGCGCAACACCAGCCCCACTGTTCGTCTAACTCAGAAAGACAAGGTCGTGGCATGCTGCGGCAACTTGTTGGACCCCGTGCTGCGAGGGACAACCGGGAGAGGCACGGAGCGCCTTTTTCAGCCCTCTTCAATCCAGGAATTGTGAGGTAGTTGGCTGAGGCTCTGGTTGCATCTCTTTCTGCCGCCTTCCCCTAGGCAGCGAGAAATAGCTCAAGCTGATGAAAACACAGCTGACGTGCACTCACATGCTGCCCAGCCACCAGGCAGCAATGGCCGCAATTGAAAAGGGCCGATCTGCGACCCAAACATTCATGACCTCAGGTCAAGAGCTGACAAATGCGAGGAGGCAATGCCAGGCAGTAGGCAAAGGGCCCAACAAGCACCTGAAGCCCGCACCAGCTTCTGGCAGCTTGTAGGCGCAACACCCTCGTGCAAGGCCCGCCTTGGCTGGTGCTATTTCCGCGCTTCCACGTCTAACATACGACCCCTGGTTGTGACCCCGCTATCACACCCCTCTTGAGGCTCCGGCGGGTCGGGCTGGCCGTCTCTTAGGTTCTGCCAGAGCACCGCCTCCCCCGCTTGCGGCAGCACCTTGAGACCTCGCCGGCGGCGACCCCGGACCGTGTGCGCCAAGGGCTCGGATACTGTGGGCTGCTCAACGCGCTTTGGACTGCAACGCCGTACAGAGGGCTCAAGTCTTGAGCCGCCCGCCCAGTTTTGGAAAGTGAAGGTGGCCGCCGCCATCGTCTTCGGGCACATCGCTCAGGAAGACCAGCATGGTGTGACTTCTTTGCTCGCCTCATGGCATTCGTGCAAGTGCGCACGCCTCCGCAAGGGGTGGCCCGCCAGCGTTCGTGACCGCAACCGTCGAGACTGCAACGAGTCTTGCCAAGCACGCGGCCGGCATAGGAGGACATCCTGTGCGGCTCCTCATGGGTATCCATGTGAGGCCTGTAGTACCTTGGTAGCGCAAATCCAGGCTCCTTGTTGCAAGGCTATCATTGTCCTTCCTCATTTTGAGCTCACAGTGGCCAACTGGCCAGAACTGTTTGTCGGCTTTGGGCAGCACAACGTATCCAGGGTTCCAAAAGGGGATATGCACACCTCGACGCCCCGCCACCTGACGAGACCAAGAAACTGGTCAGGCAAGTACCGGACCAGCTGAAGCGGCTCGATGCGCCCTTCTTCCACGCCGATGACCTAAACATGTTCGCTAATTGTTTGGGGAGGCTGGGCGGGGCATCCCGCGATTCCATTCTTTCAGACTACCCTACACAAGTCCAGACTACTCTACAAAAAAAAGAAATGACAAGAATGGAGTCACAAATGCAATTCCAGGGGCGAACCCCCCTTCCAATTGCCAACATTGACCCATGACTTTTCGTCGAAGAAATAACGCATCAATTGGGAAATGCGTTGGGGAGAAGCCCCATTGCCATAAATGCAAATAAACGGGATAGAACATGATAGAACCAAAGGCCAAATCGCCCAGGCCTGACCACTCCGTCCCCAACTTGGAGCCCAACCCCAGACGTTTCGCGCGAGAGTCAGTCATGCGAACCATTCAAGCCGAAGGCCCAAAGCCCTCGGTCGGGTCGCGAGGCCTCGGCACAGCGCCGCTGCACCCGCAGAACGGCCTGCAGCTCCGCCTCCACGCCGCCCCGCGCAGCCGGCGGCAGCTGTGACAGACCCTCCTGACAGGGTGGCTGAAGCCACCCGACCGCCATTGATCTGACCCACGCCAACCCCGCTCTGGAAAATTAGAAGGCCCAAGGACGTGGCGAAGGACCAGGGACTTCCCCCAGAGGAGCACAATGATAGGTGCAGGAATGGTGTACCTCAACAACTATGCCTGTAGGTTTAGCCTGGGTACCACGTGATCCCCTTCATTTCGATAAATCGAGTGGGCGGCAAATCTCAAAATCTGGAACCAAACCGTGAACATGGCCTCAGGGAAATATGGGCAGCCCTGGCAGGAGGCGCATGGAAGCAAAGGAAGTGGGGGGACGGAGATCCTGGGCCCAACCCAGAGTTGTTGGACTCCTGAAAGCCTAGATGTTGGCTGCGTCTTGGGCATCCCCAAGTTAGAGGTGCCCACGGTTGGTTGCTGGCCCCGTGGTAGGCAAGCCAAGGGAAACTAATAACAGGCCAGTTGTGCAGCAATGAAGGCCGTCCAATTTCCAACTTCCCACCAACACACATGGACCACGTGGAAGCACACAGGCTCCCTTTCCGAGGAATACGTCTATTCGGTCCAACGCATACCCCAAGGCATTGCAGCCACAGAGTCCGAGAACAACTCTCAACGACAGAGTGCGGCGCTAGACTGGGAGGACCAATTGCAAGCGATCACAATCATCACAACACACCGCGGAGCCCGAAAACCCTTCAAAGAAAATCAAGTGATGGCGCAACAAACAGTCGTGATGCTGTTTGTCCACCTCCTTTGCGATGCAGTTTTTGAAATCTTGCATTCCCAGGCAAGTGTCTGGCGGCATCATCAGCGGCCACAGCATGGGGCACGAGCTGGATGTGCGCCGCCTCGTGTAAAACGTGACCAGCTGACAGCCCTACTGGTCATTTGCACAATGAGCAACGTGCAATAATATTATGAGACTTGAAACTCAAACCAGAAACTCAAAACCAGCCACGGCAGCCAGGGTGCTCGTCAGTGATGAATTCGCCCGACGGCAGCGTCTGCTTGCTTGCTTGGAAGCCCTGCCGAGCGTCGCACAATGCGACCAGCTCCTGGGCACAAATTGCTAAACCCCTGGTGGATTGATTAATGGGGTCAGTCCAGCTTAAACAGAAGCAGACGCCCTTCTATCAATCTGCAAGTTTTCGTGATCCGTCAACATAGCTCACAGCCGCTCACTCGGACCACAATCCTCCAGCTCTAAGGGCTGAAACAAGCCCTGGATGAGCTCCACATCCAGCTCATGCTCCTCACGAATTTGTGGGCGCCATATCAACCAACCATGACGCCGCCGCGACTTCTACAAACAAATGGCATCCATTGAGCTCTGAGAGCCCGCACCTAATGAAATGTACGGTACCTTGTGCTTGGAGCCTTCATTTTCTGTCGCGATGCCAGTTTGTGCAGCCTCTTCCCAAAGCTCCTGCGTCAGCCTGCGAATCACCACCTCTGAGCCATCAATCACGGCCTCACCTCAGCAACTCGAATGAGTCCATGCACTGCTCAACCTGGGGTCCTCCACAAAAGCACTGCATGTGGCACAGGTCTAGGCAAAGCTTGCTCTGCCGAAACCATGGAGAGACTTTTGTACTAACTGTATGTATTGCTTAGTTATGTTAAGTTATGTTCTTATTTATTCATTGATTTATTTGTTTGTTTGTTTGTTGCTTGCTTGCTTGCTCAAGGATCCGCAGTTCTCGCCGAGCTTCGGGTTGCCGCAGCCCGGATCCGCGCACCGCGCTCGGAGCCAAAGCGTCGGTGCCTTGCGTTCACGCGTGCAGCCACCCCGGGTTTCCCACAGTGGGAGGAAAACCTCACTTCCGGAGCTGAAGAATTTGAACAACATCTTATGAGTCTAGTGGACTCTTTTATTTCTCTATGATCTTGCAATGTTCAATCGAGTGCAGGCCGAGCAGTTCGCATTTTGCGAGCAGCCCCAGTGACCACAACTGACAGCACTGCATATATCTGAGTATGTTCCCTTCTTAGGCGAGTGGGAAAGGAGGGCAAACACAAATTGGAAAGCGACCTAGGCAAATCTCCGGGCAGCTGCCTTGGCCAGCCGGCGGCTGGCAACAGCAACAGCCCGCAGATCTGCAATCCCAGCGCCGGCCGCCCAGGGACCACCACGCGCGAGAGAGCCTGAGCAGCCGTTTATCGCTTGCAACTCCCAGGAACGGCCACCCCAAAACCCAGGATTGGCTTAGACCCCACAGCTGCCGCTCCTGAGAAATAAGGTTGGAATCGTACGGTCTCAAGGAAGGATTCGACGCAATGTGAGGAACTCCTCGTTTGCAAACCCAGGACCCAAATGGATTCGGAGCCACGGAACCTTTCTTGTGAAAGCCAAGGTGCCTGTGGCAAATGGGCATGCGCCAGGCAGGGGCATGAAACCATGGCTGGGCGGTTGGGCCGCCACATCCTGCCTCAATCAGGAAACCAAAATGTCTAAATCAGAGCTTCAAGGCCCCCTGCCCTCAACCATATCATCTGGTGGCTGGTGGAACTGGTGGGGTCTTTACTGCCAGCAACAACGAACTGCAACACCCGTAAAAAGCGGTTCCTTCTTGTCCACCAGCAAGTTTTGACCTAAAGCTGCTGCCGGCTGCCTGTGCGCATCTGTGGGCATCCGTCCCTGCGCTTGCATGGCTTGCAGGCCCGGCTTGGCCACAGCCCGTCCTGTCAGGAATCCATTCTGCGTGTGGAGCAGGAGGCAAAGCGGCAGTGCCAGCACGAACCTGGAGGAAGCACCGGCCCAACGAGGCACCGACCGACTGACCGACCGTCCGGTCCAATGGGGAAGATAGGCTCCTGGCGCAGTGAGCGAAGAAGCAGCTCGGACCATGGCGGGCAACTTGTGACCAAGAGCGCAGCTTCGGAACGCTGGGAGCCATACAGGAGCCATACAAGGGCACGCCCATATGCCAGCAGCTTCCAAGCGCTTGTTACTTGCCCGGCTCAGCAATCTCCAGGCGGCGGAGGCGTCATCAACTGTCGCCTGCAACCGCCTGCAACCCCTGCAAACGAAACGCTCTGCAGCCGCCCCTATCACCGCCTACAAACCCCCCTGGCCCTCCAACCCCATTACTCCCCTACAACCGCTCCAATCCCCGCAACGCCTTTTGCGCCTAGCCACTCTTGTGCCTCTTGGCCGAGGGCTGATCGGAGCACGACGAGGCAAAAGCGTTCCTCGAAGGCACCCCCTGGCATCCCTGACACCCTGGTGGCACCGAGGTGTGGCTTGCGACCTGAGGGCCCCGCATCACTTCACAGGTGTAGTCCACATCATCGAAGCTCAGCTCTGGGTACAATGGCGGGCAAACATGGTTCTCGCCTCAAACATGCGGCGCAATGCGACTGCGCGCGAAAATGCAGCCGTTGCCATCACAAATCCCTCAGGCTCTGGCACAGCTCATCTGTAACAGGCAGATGTGCGGACGCAGCTTCGGTGCTCGCATATGCAGGCATGCGGTGTACGGGCCTCCCGCAGGTCTCACATGCAACTTGTGCTGGTTGCTTTGCATCCAGCCTGAAGTAGACTTCCCCAGTCAAGCTGATCCCTGGCCAAGACGTAAAGCGAAAGCAAATCAACAAAAACAATCATAGCACTGACAGTACCTCAATCAACACCAGACCCACTGCGCTGGGCAACAAACAAGGTGCACATCCATCTGCTCAAATCACACCACACAAACTTGGTTCTTGACTTCTTGATCCATAGCTCGGGCATCCTCAACACCCCAAAGGCCCTCTCCCTTGGTAAGATGCCGGTACTACATCAAAAGATGCAAATCCCCCCACAAATCATGCCCCCCCCCCTCCCTCAGAACTCCCCACGCCTCGGTCCTGCAAGTAGGCCCGCAGCTCCTCCCGCCGGCCGCGCAAACGGCCCTCCAACACTGCCACCTGAGAGTTGGGGATCGCTCAGCACGGCTTGCCCCACAAAAGCCCCAGGTCGTGCCCGCATTTCTGGACTGATCAAGGGGTCGACGCTAAGGGGACTGGGTGCAAATCCGTGAGTGCCCGGCACACTTGTAAGCAGCACCTTGGCCTCAAAGGTGCGGCTTGTGAACGCTCCCGGCGGGCCGAATGGAGCACAGCCTTGCACACCCTTTTCTCCGGCGCAAGCACCTGCACCGCGATCCGGAGGCCCTTTACGTGCACCTTCAGTAGGTTCTCATGGGGAAAGGGGCCGCGGCAAGATGCGGGCCGCTGGGCCGAGCGCTTTCGGCCATCGGACTTAGTCTGGCCCAGGGTCGGAAATCGGATGCTGCTTACTGACGTTGCAGTCGTCACGAGTCATAATCTAGAATCTAGATCTCCTCCTGCCCCTCACTGCTCCGGCTGAAAAGGGCCTCACTTTGCCACTTGACGCACGACATTGCTGCAGCCAAAAGTTGGCACCATGGCCTTCTGCAAGCAAGCGGCTGTCAGCACTGCTGCCCCTGCCACCGCCGTGTCTCCTCAGATGTTTCGGCACCAAAGTGACGAGCAGCCAGCCAAAACTGGAGCCCATGCCATGCAGTGACCGCACTGAGGTCCAAGGCGCCCAACACTTGTCTCCACTTGATCGCACCTTGCATCGGGCCGGAACCAAACACAGCTCAGGATCAAAGAAGCTTTAGCCACAGGCTTGGCCTTGTTCCTTCTAATTGCCCAACATGCGTCCGAGCTTAAAGCTTGGACATGCGAGCAGCTCCAAGCTTTAAGCTCGGGTCGCAACTCTTTTGTCAGGGCGCCATCCTCGTGAAGGTAGCGTTGCTTCACCGCCTGCTCCACGGAATCCACCGCCTGCGACAGGAGCTCCGACACCTTGCGCTCCGCCGCCTCCCAGTCGATCTCCGACCCGTCCGGGCCGGCCTTGAGGAACCTCAGCGACCGCAGGAACACGCGGAGCCTCGGAGGCTATCCCCAATCCCTCCCCACCTTCAGATCCACTGATGGTGTTTCCATGTTGGTCCCCAACTCAAAAACGTCTTTCCGCCCTGGTGCTGGCGCCGGGGCCTTTCGCACTTAAAAGCAAGGTCCTTATTCTTGGCAAGGCGGCTGCTCCCCCAGAGACGCGGCAAAGGTGCGCAGGGCTTCGTCCAGATTCACCTTGAAGGCGCCTGCCCCTGGCCGGCCTGCGCGGGCTCTTGCAAACCAAGCCATGGGCTCATTCTTGGCGATGCCTGTGCCGCAGCCCAGATCAGGGGCAAGCAACTCTGAACTAAAGGGGTTCCCCTGAAAACGCCAAAGCGTTTCCAGCAAGAAAAGGAACCTTGTACCGATTAGCCAGCTTCCCTCAGAAGTCCTGGCGTTGTCCGTCTTCGGGGTGCCCTTTCGCGCCCGCTGTTCGAGTTCCCCTTTGTAAGCTGGTTGTAGGCCTGCACCCGGAACTCAGCTGAATCCTGACTTGCCATGTCAATTGAACTGCCGGAATCCCCAGCCTCAGTCAGCTCAATGAACTTTGCTTGAGCCTCCTCTGTTGGATTCTTGTCCTTGGCCGCTTGTTGGCAATGCGGGTAGCAGAAACCAGCTGCAAAGCCAAGCTAAAGCCTCATGTCCCCTCTGTGCAGGAGAGGCACGGGGTGCCACTTCCTTGGATACAACTGCAATGACTGCAATGCGAATGGAGTTGGCGGCTGGCCGAACAGGCTTTCAAACCGCGACTTCTCCCCTCCGCATGCGCCCATTTTGGCCCGCTGCGCTGCACCGGTTGCAACGCTACACCGTGCGAGCATTGGAGGTGTTCGGAGGTCCGCTGCTTCTTTTAGCAGACTTTAGAAAGGGCTCTTGGAATGCGTCAGCTTCAGGCAGCCTCCGGCTCTGTCTGTAGGTCGGGGCTCATGGCCGAGGGGATGCCATGCTTCTCCAGCGCTTCTGGAGTCGCCTTTCTGGCATCCTCCGACCTCAGGACCAGCACCAGGTTGTTGTGGAGGGTGAACTTCAGGAACTCCTCCTGGCTCGTCTACGGGCTCAATTGGGGGGGGGGGGGGGGTGGGGCTGGGCAGGTGATGAAAACACTCTGCAAAGCATTCATGAGCCAAACGGCTTGGAAAAAAATGGGCGGTCTCAAACTGCTCGCAGCACTCCTGGCAGCTCTCCACCAAACTTCTCACCTGCGGCAGGTTCTTGACCTTCACCTCGTTCACCGAGATCAGCCTGCAGTCGAACGGCTGCTGGCAGAAGCCAAAGCATGGCCCCGTGGATTTGAAACGGCCAATCGGGGCGAAAGTGTCACAAACTGGCAAAGGTGTCAAAAAGAGCTGCTTGCTGAACACACCAAACAGCAGAAAACCCCCAAGGTCCAAGACATCGATCTGCCAACCGGGCGGCAGCATGTTCTCCAAATCCTCGTAGCCTACGGTGAGGTCGTGGGCGAGGACCTGGGTCAGGATCACCAACTGTTCCCCCTTCTCCTGAAGGCAACTGGGAGCGAGGGCCACCGCAACGATTCCGCTTGACATGGGATGCTGGTCGATCATGTTGCTCATCTTCCCTTGCGGACTCCAATGCGCGCGCTTGTCTTCAAATGGGGGAACCCCGAAAAGGAGTGGTTTCCCTTTGGTTTCCCTTTAAAACGAGCCCCAGCTCCAAAAATGCATGCGCACAAATGGCTCAAGTTTCTGGCGCGATGCCGGGCCGTTGAAAAGAGTGAAGCTTGGTGAAGGAAACGACGTGCAAAAGTGCAGAATCCTCCTGTTGAACCGAAGTTGGATCTTCTCTGCTTCCTGCAGTTTCAGGGAGCACGCGAGATCGAGCCCAGCCTCTCGCATGAAAAGGCTAGCAAGGCACTCGCTGGGTTGCACATCACCTCATTGGTGAAGTATAATTACACATGAAACTTTACGTGCTCCGGCAATGTCGAGTTTGTTCTTGGCGCCCGCGTGCCCAATCCTTCCCCGTGAGTAGACGTGTGTCACTGTGGCGCTCTTGGCCCGCTCTTTGGCACACAACGCCACGGTGACAATCGTCGAGCTGGAGCGCAACATTGGTGACGTGAGTCCATCTGTGCCTCTGACTTTATGTGCCCCTGCAATCTCGAGTTTGTCCTTTGCGCCCGCGTCCCCAATCCTTCCCCCTGACTAGACGTGTGTCAGCGCCTTGTTGGCGCTGACCCGCTATTTCGCACAGAACGCCGCGGTGACAATCGCCAAGCTGAAGCGCAACATTGGGGACGTGATCTGTGCGTCTGTCTTTATGTGCTCCTGCAATCGCGAGTTTGTCCTTGGCGCCCGCGTTCCCAATCCTTCCCCCTGAGTAGACGTGTGTCACCGTGGTGCTCTTGGCAAAGGAGCGGGTCAGCGCCTTGTTGGCGCTGGCCCGCTCTTTGGCACAGAACGCCACGGTGACAATCGTCGAGCTGGAGGGCAACATTGGTGACGTGATCTGTGCCTCTGACTTTTGTCCTTGGCGCCCGCTTCCCAATCCTTCCCCCTGAGTAGACTTGTGTGACCGTGGTGCCCTTGGCAGAGGAGAGCGCCTTGTTGGCGCTGACCCGCTCTTTGGCACAGAACGCCACGGTGACAATCGTTGAGCTGGAGCGCAACATTGGTAACGTGGGCCCATCTGCCTCTGACTTTATGTGCTGCTGCAATCTCTTGGCGCCCCCAATCCTTCCCTCTGAGTAAATGTGTGTCACCGGAGCGGGTCAGCGCCTTGTTGGTGCTGACCCGCTCTTTGGCACAGAACGCCACGGTGACAATCGTCGAGCTGGAGCGCAACATTGGTGACGTGGGTCCATCTGTGCCTCTGACTTCATGTGCTCCTGCAACCTCTTGGCGCCCCCAATCCTTCCCCCTGAGTAGACGTGTGTCACCGTGGTGCTCTTGGCAATGGGGCGGGTCAGCGCCTTGTTGGTGCTGACCCGCTCTTTGGCACAGAACACCGCAGGGACAATCGTCGAGATGGAGCGCAACATTGGTGACGTGGGTCCATCTGTGCCTCTGACTTTGTGCTCTTGGCAATGGAGCGGGTCAGCGCCTTGTTGGTGCTGACCCGCTCTTTGGCACAGAACGGCGACAATCGTCGAGCTGCAGCGCAACATTGGTGACGTGGCTCCATTTGTGTCTCTGACTTTATGTGCTCCTGCAATCTCTTGGCGCCCCCAATCCTTCCCCCTGAGTAGACGTGTGTCACCGTGGTGCTCTGACCCGCTCTTTGGCACAGAACGCCACGGTGACAATCGCCGAGCTGGAGCGCAACATTGGTGACGTGCGTCCATCTGCGCCTCTGACTTGATGTGCTCCTGCAATCTCTTGGCGCCCCCAATCCTTCTCCCTGAGTAGTTGTGCGTCACCGTGGTGCTCTTGGCAATGGAGCGGGTCAGCGCCTTGTTGGTGCTGACCCGCTCTTTGGCACAGAACGCCACGGTGACAATCGTCGAGCTGGAGCGCAACATTGGTGACGTGATGTGACGTGGGTCCATCTGTGCCTCTGACTTTATGCAATCTCTTGGCGTGAAAATCGTTGAGCTGGAGCGCAACATTGGTGTCGTGGGTCCATCTCTGCCTCTCTTGCCGCCCCCAATCCTTCCCCCTGAGTAGACGTGTGTCTCCGTGGTGCTCTGACCCGCTCTTTGGCACAGAACGCCACGGTGACAAACGTCAAGTTGGAGCGCAACATTGGTGATGTGCGTCCATCTGCGCCTCTGACTTTATGTGCGTCACCGTGGCGCTCTTGGCAATGGAGCGGGTCAGCGCCTTGTTGGTGCTGACCCGCTCTTCGGCACAGAACGCAGCGGTGACACTCGTCGAGCTGGAGCGCAACATTTGTGACGTGGGTCCATCTCTTGGCGCCCCCATTCTTTCCCCCTGAGTAGACGTGTGTCACCGTGGTGCTCTTGGCAATGGAGCGGGTCAGCGCCTTGCTGGTGCTGACCCGCTCTTCACAGAACGCCTCGGCGACAATCGTCGAGCTGGAGCGCAACATTGGTGACGTGGGTCCATCTGTGTCTCTGACTTTATGTGCTCCTGCAATCTCTTGGCGCCCCCAATCCTTCCCCCTGAGTAGACGTGTGTCACCGTGGTGCTCTTGGCAATGGGGCGGGTCAGCGCCTTGTTGGTGCTG